GTGCATTTAGAATCACACTTCAAACAGGTTGAAAAGTGTACTGTATATGGGGTAGGTGTAAGTCATTATCTCTTTTCAGGAGGAAAAAAAAGAAAAAAACATATGCCCCCCCACCATACAAAGCTACCTAACTTTCTCTTGTCAACTTCTATTTTGCTTCTTTGGTTTCCCCCTCAAAATTAACCCTTTGCTTCTTGTGTGGTTCTTTGAACTGTTTTAAATGATCTACAGCTGCCAAGTGGGTAATGAGATGATACTGCACAGGTGCATGGTGAATAACAGGGTGGAAAGAAGATACTGTACCTGTGTGAGCTTTTATGAAAAACTGGGGGGGGGGCAGGGCAGGGATCCTAACCATTGTTATTTTTCTACTCCACATATAGCATGTTAAGAAAAAAAACCATCTTACTATTGTCAGAGTAGCATTATTCAACATTTGGAACTGGTTTAATGAAGTTTGTGTTTAGAAAGATCTATTATTTATAGAGGCAAGAGAAGTAACAAATGCTATGGGGCCTTTTCAAGCTATTTGTTTATAACATTGTGGGGGGGGGAGCCTCTTATCTGTTGTGAATTTGTTGCTGGTCTGCAGAGGTTGTCTTTGCAAGACCAAAAGTTAAATAGTAAGGACAAGTTTTCTTTTCTACTCATTTCTTCACTGCAGCTTTTTGTCCTGGGCAAATTCCACAGTGGATCATTTGCTATTGTGATCTGTGCAGGAATGTTACACACCAGGTACTTAGGTGCTGTAGAGGTATTGCTCTTAAACATGGACTCCTTTCCATCTGATTGTATCACTGTGATTCTAAAGAACTGAGGCTGCAATACCGTACTTATTTTCCTGACAGTAAATCCCTTGGAATTCAGAAGGGCCTTCACCTAAGCAAACTCTGCAAGGATTTCAACCTCAGTATTGAACTCTGTTTCCCATTACACTCTCTCAATATCCATTTCTGCAGCACAGACAAATGTCTGTGTTGTATTACTGTCCTAGCCACCAAAATCCCAAGTAAAAAATGTTCCAACTTTTTAGAAAACTTTTTTTTCGTCAATACAGTATGTTTGTTCTCACAAAATGATAAGATTCTTAAAAAAAATTTAAAATGGCATATACAGAAAAGAAATACAGAATGGCTGGGGTTCTGCATTGCAGGACTTCTAATCATGAAAATGCAACTAGTTAATGCTGGTTAAATTGGGGAGAGGTGCTGAATTTAGCTCCTCATTCTCAAACAACTGATCACGGTAACTTTAACATTTTTTTAAAAGGACTCTGTGCTATTAAGCCCAAAAATTCTGCATTGCAGGGCTTGTAACATTTTGGGAGAAGAGGAGGGGCTTGTGCATAGGCAAGAGAAATACCCAGTGAAGGAAACTGAGAAACAGGTGACTGTATGGCTGACTGTACCAGTGGTCCTGGACTAACCCTCTGAGAAAAAACACGAAAGGAGGACCAGGAAGGATGGCTTGAAGCAAAAGATGGCAGGGCTCCTATACCTTCCAACCATCCAATTTTTAATATCTTTATTTTTAATTTATTCATCAAATTTGCATACTGCCCTTCATCTGTAGATCTCAGGGTACTGGGCATATCTTTAGGAACAGTCCATATCTCCCAGGCCTTTGGCTAATTATAACCTTTTATTTATTAATTTATTATTAATTTGTTAAAATTGTGTACTGCCCTTCATCTGTAGATCTCAGGGCAGTTCACAACATAAAAATACAAGATAAAAAGACAAAAAAACCCTAATAAAAACAATAACAAAATAATAACCCCCTCCCACAAACACATTTAAAAGGGTGTAGGACAGCCTTGGGTCACCATCTGTTTTTGGACTACAACTCCAATCATCCCTAGCGAGCAGGACCAGTGGTCAGGGATGATGGGAATTGTAGTTCCAAAACAGCTGGAGACCAAAAGGTTGGAATACCCTGGTGTATGATGTTAATCAGCCAAAGGCCTGGCTGAACACGGTGGAAGACACATGGCAAGGCATGTAAAGGAGCCAGAGCACTTGGAGGCTTGTGTGACGAGATCAGCTGCAGTGGTCCTGCACCTTTTTAATTTTAATTTTAATTGTGGTGCTGGGAGTTTTAGCAGGCGCAGCTTTCCTCACACTGGCATGCGATGCTGCTCCTGCTGAAGTTATTATTTCTATATAACTATTACAGGCCTTGGAAGGTACCTCGATTCACTATAAAACCAAGGCAACACCGGAGATGTGGGGGAAGTGTGAGACATAAGGGGTGTTCCGTTGTAAACGCACGTGCTCATCTTTCTGTCAGGCCACCTAAACATGCATGCAGTTATTTATGGAGACCTTGAGGGTACATGTGTGTTATGTACTAAGCTTAGATCCTAGAACAATAGGCAAGCAGGATCCTAGAATGCAACAACTGATTGGCTTGCAGGAAAAGACCAATCAGGCTCCAGGAGGAAGTTAATCAGCCTATTAGGCTGGTAGGATCCTAGAATGCAACAACTGATTGGCCTGCAGGAAAAGACCAATCAGACTCCAGGAGGGAAGCAGAATCAGCCAATCAGATGGGACTCATTGTGTAAATAATGTATATAAAAGCCTGAGGTTTGGGGGGCAATTCAATCAGTGTTTTACAAGCTGAAATAAAGAGCATAAAATCGCTACAGGACTCTGAGTATATTTCAATGTGAGAGAACTGGAGGTTCAAGACACTTCTTTCTCTGCCTGTTCCTCCCTTGTATCTGTTCACGGCACAGATGTAGGCCACACCTTCTCAGGCCAGGGGCAGCTTGATGATTTCTTTGGAAAAGGCCTCTGCTCAGTGACATAAAGACCTTTGCTAATGAGCTTGCCTGGGACACAGCAGGGGAGTCTGATTAGGCCGGGTGAGCCTGGCAGCTGTGTACTTAGCCTCTTACAGACCAGGCAGGCTTCTGCTGCTGCCAGTATAATGAAGCTCTCTTCAGGAGCTGGAGACAATCCCAACTACAATCTTCGGTGGTTTTTCAGCCGTACGCAGCTCCCAGCTTAGAGCTCTTTCATGTGCTGCCAGGCTTGATGCGAATTCACCTGCTGTTGGAAGGCAGCACAGAGGAGTATCGGGAGGACAGCTGTGTTCATGGAGAAGCTGGAAAGCCGTGCAGAGATACTAACATCAGACCTTCCTTCAAGAGCAAGAAACCACTTGACCCTCCAGCCATTCTCACAGGTGAGGCTTACCTTAAATGAGATTGCAGTGTCAATGTGAGCTTTCGGTTAGTAAGGTTGCACATTCAGTGCTCCTGCTTAGGTGCTCAGCAAACGCAGGATTTGGGTACAGCTTAGAAAATAAAGTTAAGTTTGAGGGCCTAGATCTGAAACACGATGCCTGCCTCCCCACACAGCTTAAAATCCTGTTTAGGCTGGGTTTATCCCAAGCGTGTTGGCTTACACACAAGGAGATTGTGTGTAATACAACTAATTTAGCTCCCATTTTGTATCTTGCATTGACAACATTCACATGTGGTACAAAATAAAGTGAGAGAAACTCAGAAGCCAACTTTTCAGTATTTAAACAGTCTTCATTTTAAGTTAAAAACAAAGGGGATATCAAAGGTCAAATACCAAATCAATTATGAATTAGAGTGTGGGAATTCTATCCATATGTGTTATCTGCAACCATACAAGAAAGCTTGTTGAAGTACAGTGGTACCTCAGGTTACATACGCTTCAGGTTACAGACTTTGCTAACCCAGAAATAGTGCTTCAGGTTAAGAACTTTGCTTCAGGATGAGAACAGAAATCATGCTCCGGCGGCGCGGCAGCAGCAGGAGGCCCCATTAGCTAAAGTGGTGCTTCAGGTTAAGAACAGTTTCAGGTTAAGAACAGACCTCTGGAACAAATTAAATACTTAACCTGAGGTACCACTGTACCTTCATAGGTTGTATTTAATTTTTCCTTTTACTCTTTGTATTCTGCCTTTCTACATTACTTCACACAAGGTGGTTTACAAGCTGAACAAACAACATAATATATGACAAAGATTACACACCATATAACAATCTGATCCAATACGAAAAAGTCATGATAAAAATGTAACTTTAGAATAAACAACTTATAGTGAATAAAGTAATATCTGATAATCTGTTAGAATATAATAGTACACAATAAAATTAAATATCAGCAAATAATTAAACAAATTCATTAGCAATTACAATAAATAATTACTAAACTATAATAAATAAATAGAGCAGCAAGTCACAATGCATGAAAATCCACATACATAAAAAATCATGTAAAAGGATCAAATTGAGAAACAAAGACACACAACATATATATCCCTGAACTCCTCTTCTCTCTTCCCATCTGCTTTTGCTGTTTTTAAAGTCATGGTCTGGAAAAGGCTCCTAGAGCTGGAGGCAGCAGGAGGCAAGGCAGGTGTTAAAAACCATTGCCTGAGGGATCTTGGGGAAGTTTATCTAAATAATAGATTTGTCTAAACTAAAGCAAAAAGAAGGGGCACTCTTGCATTGTTTAGTTTCGGGAGATATGTAATGCAAGTTGTGATACTGGACTCAATGTATTTAACACTTTTGTGACTGGTGCCAAACTCATAACGGGATTCAATTATTATAAATCAAAGGGTAGATTCCATCATGCACGTCTGTCACTTTGAGAGGAATCCAGTGCTGCGCTTTTGCAATCATTCCATCAGCACAAGCATTTCAGAGCCAATTTGGGCAGTGTGGAGGGAGCAGAGGGTAGAAAGTCCTGCACTAGCGGGACTCATTGTGTTGGTTCCTGCTAGTGCACCTGCTTAGTTGAATCCTTCCCTTTGTCAAGTGAGGAATGAAGCTGAACCATCAGATTATGAATCACAGCTGGAGATTCACATTGCCTAAAATACAGGGGGTTTTAGTGGCTACGGTTCATGTAATGGGCTTACAGGCACCACGTGCTTAGCAATGAAATATTGATAGTTCAAGTGAGGCTCACGCATATGTGTATCAGTTATAGATAAGCAGAACAGGGAAGTCAGATAACTCAGTTGGTCAGAGTGTGGTGCTCATAATACCAAGGTTTGAAGTTCAATCCCTGCATGGGGCAGCTACATATTCCTGCATTGCAGGGAATTGGACCAGATGACCCTCAACTCCACAATTCTGTGATTCTATGACTTTACATCATAACCTTGCTCATTTTGTACAACGTGCTACTTGTCTTCTAACTCATCACCCTCCCTTACCTTTCACCTTTCTTTTAGCTTCTAATCCAGGCATCCCCAACCTTCGGCCCTCCAGATGTTTGGGGACTACAGTTCCCATCATCCCTGACCACTGGTCCTGTTAGCTAGGGATCATGGGAATTGTAGACCAAAACATCTGGAGGGCCGCAGGTTGGGGGTGCCTGTTGTAATCCTTGTCATGGGCATTTCTTTCACTTCCTATACATAAATGTGAGATACAGCAAAAATCAAAAAGGTAGTAGTGGAGGCAATTAGTTGGCTCACAGATCAAGCTGTAAAAAATACCTCTGCACTAATATTTAACACTGTACAGGCAGCATGATGATGGTGGATTAAGGCTGCAATGAGATGTATGCTAGTATGTGCCTAGGTTGTTGGATACTTAACAGGTTTTATATACTCAAGTGATGCTTTAAAATTTAAACTTACAAATGTACAAGAAATACTTCAGTTTCCTCTTCTTTTTACTGGGCATGCAATATTTTAACCTTTTAGCCCAGTCACTGTTGGGTAGGGGGTGTGAAAAGAGTGATTAGCAATGATAATAATCATGTTCTGTATGAAATGATTATGAATGAAAAGGGAGTGAACTACCCTGGACACCAAACAAGCATGTCATTAACTGTTCCTGGAATTTAATGGATGCTTTTCTATTATCAGTAAGTTGAGTAATGAGTATTATTAGTAAGATGGGGAGACTCTGCATCTCTGTGAGTTGTTCCTGCATTGCTGAAGATCTCCTGGATAAAGAAGAAAGCAAATGTGTGCTGTAATCAGGATCCAATCCATGTCTTATTTTTGTCCCTGTGACACAATCGAGCAATCAAATTGTATACCCTCTTACAGCAGATCTGAATTGAGCTCAGAAGCTGCAGCTGCTATGCTGTTGACTCAGATTATAAATGAAGATGCTATAGTGACCACTGCTACTTTCACGGGAGGGTGGGGGCAGGAGAGGAAATGGGGCATAGCATCCTTGTCAAATTTATTTGTTATTTGCCAGGAGATTTGCTTGAGGAATGCAGATGGCTCTCGGTTACCTTCTCAAATGCACCAGTGAAGAGTTATTTGCTAATCAAATATTTGCTAGCAATAGAGAACTTGAAACAAGATTTGTCATTGGGTTTTCAGTGCATTTATTATCTGTTAATGCCTTGTCACTCACACCGCATGACAGTCTGGATATAAATATTTTATTGAGTTATACAGATGGACAAAAGATTTATTCACTGAAATTCACATTCTTCCAGGTCTTCATGACACTGGTAAATACGGAAGACTGTTTCCTGGAGTGTTCATTGGATCTGTGTGTGATTCACAAGGTGAATTTTGTCTTCGGAGCATAAGAAGAACCTGCTGGATCAGGCCAAAGGCTGGTCTAGTCCAGCACTCTGTTTCCACAGTAGCCAGACAGATAACCATCACTTCCTTTAGTAGTGCACTGTATGAAAGTCTCTCTCTCTCTCTCTCTCTCTCTCTCTCTCTGTGTGTGTGTGTGTGTGTGCTAACATTTAGCCTTATTGGAAGTCCCTAAGTTCTAGTGTGAGGGAGCCAATCTTTTCTTTACATGCTTTCTCCAAACCATGCATAATTCTACACACTTCCATCTTATACACATTTTCTTTAAACTAAAAAGTTCCAAATGTAACTCATGGGGGAGTTACGGCATCCCCTTGATAATTTTAGTTGCCCCTTTCTGGACCTTTTCCAGCCCTACAATAGTATTTTTAAGGTGAGGTGACTGTACAGGTGTGGTTTCATTATAGGTTTGTATAATAGTGTCATGATATTGGCAGCATATTTTCCCCCCCGAGGAAAGAAAATGACCTGGCTGTGGAAACACTTCAGCCCAGTTGCAGAGGGGAGAGGAGCAGGGGCAGATGGGGCACCAGTGAAGGGCTTGGTGCATGTTTGTGTGCCAGTGGGTTGGCAGCTCCTAGAGTAGAGGAAGGATTGAGACTGATCCGCATCTATGATGTATCTATCCTGTAATTTCTTATGAAATACTGTGTTTTACCTTAAATTAGCTTGGATTCAAATTGAAAAAAAGAATGACCTAGGTGCATTATAAGCTGTCAATGTGTACACAGAAACAGAAAGTTGAATTCTGGGGTTTCTGTAAGCCAGGCATGGCCAAACCTGACCCTCCAGATGTTTTGGGACTACAACTCCCATCATCCCTAGCTATCAGGGCCAGTGGTCAGGGATGGTGGGAATTGTAGTCCCCAAACATCTGGAGGGTGAAGTTTGACCATGCCTGCTGTAAGCTAATGGCAATTTGGGGTGCTGGGTGTCTCCTTGGAGATCCAATGGTGGCACTGGATTTGACATTTTGAAGTGTCAATCTGTGCTTTCACATTTATCCTTAACCTGTATATTTGTAAATAGATTCAGATATTACAAAATGATCTCTTTCCCAAAGAAACAAAACCTGGATAAGCACTGTGCCTCTGAAATCTCAGTGTATGTCATAAATAGTACATTGCCAGTGATGGGAGAGTGATGAGGAACAGAGCACAAATCATTGGAAATATGAAAATTAATTCAAAGTTTGGATTAAAACATTACAGTGGATAAAAAAGCAGACATTGGCTACCACAGCAATTGGAGCCAAAGGCTCCATAATGTGCATATTATAATTTTCAGCTCACTGCCTACTGCCCAAATGGCTGTCCAGTTTGAGCAACGTGCTCTTCGCTAATTAGTTTTTATGCTGTGGGAAAAATAGCAAGGCAGGCCTTCAATATGCAATTGGGGGTCGCTTTATAAGGCTCTGCAACGTTAAGTGCATTTAACAGATCATAAATGTTATTTAATTGCAAATAATTCATTGTAACTTATGTGGAAACCCTTTTAAATGCTAAGCCTGTCTTTTTCATAGCCATTGAGGTTTCTTTCTGAATGCTTACATCAAAGGCCTCCTTGCTTTTCCCCACAGAGGAAATGCCTTTTTTTATAATATGAAGCCCAATAGCACCTCTGTGTGGGTCATACTGATAATGTTTCTAACCCTATGGGGAACAAGATATTCCCTGTTGAGTCAGGCAAAGCCATTAATACCTGGAATCATGGGGCTTTAAAGTGCTGAATTGGAAGCCTGTGACTACTGAAGGGATTTTGCACTCAAACAGTTGCAAACAGTGCCAAGCACAAAGGGGAATACCTACATAGGAACAGATAAAGCAGATTCTGGCGTTTTGTAAGGGTGCCTTAACATCTGCCATTGCTTAGTGGGGGCTGGTGGGTGTCGGATTGTTTATATGCTTCTAGTACACTGGTTTATTATTGTCTTTATAGGGTTCTTTCCAGTTGCGTCCTGTCTGCTAATGGAAAGCTTTTTAATCAAGATGAGGCTTGGGTGAAGCAAAAGCAGGGTGGATGGGTGGCACTTTTAGGTTCTCCTCGCAGCCTTCTGTGCAAAGGTATGAACAATAATTTGCCAGGCACCAGATTGTGCCTGTTAAATAGAGTGAACCCTATGCCAGTGTTTCCTTTATTTTGCAAATTTAGAGTGAAGCTTTTCTGGCATTAAAAGGCTGTGTTACTCAAATGAGTTGTAAGTGATTTTGTTACTGTAACTCTTAAAAGTACTTTGGATGTGCATTTGTATCCAAAAGTAATTTGGATGGACATCACACACAAACAAAATCTCTCACACACCTTATGTTGAGCCCAGACTTGGTTCTCCAATGGAAGTAGGTTTAACAAGTACAAGATTTGTATGAAATTAAGTTGATGAAGAAAAAAAGTAGGGCCATAGAGCTGGTTGATGTAATTGGAAATAGGCTGTGACTTTAAGGCTTAAAGTTTAAGCAATAGGAAGTGACTACATCAAATTAAAACACTGGTTATGTGTCTTGAATGTCTGAGCTTCTAGGGAATGAGCAGCCCCCAAGAAGCTCATTAATAGTAGCTGCAGATGGGTTGCCTTTCCCATATTAAAATATGCTTTCATAGCTGAAAATAAAGTGCCTCAGAAGTTCTCTTCCTGTCTTAAATTTATTTTACATTTCCCTCTAGATAAGATGCACATGAATCTAACTCTTTAGTGGTCTTGGGTGGCACTTGTGAAACTGCATCCAACCATTAGTCTCTTTTGATGGGAGACAGGAAATCCTTTGTCCTGAAAATGAGTTCTGGCTAGCTAGAAGTGACCTCATGGAGAAACAGGAAGTGCCTCATTTGCATACCCTCTAACATTCTTCAGATGAATATAGGGATATTTTTCACTCTCCCCCAACTGACCTTGCTCAACTGCCTCCCATTTTTTGTCCTCTCCCCAACAGAGCATTTCCGCCCCCACTTCACCAATGGGACACACACCCTTTGCCATCCTGAGAAAACCATTTAATCTTGATTTTATTTTATTCTTTGGTAGATTTTACAAAAGAAAAACACATACCAAAGGGGCAAGATTAGACACGGATGCAGAGAGAGAGAGAGAGAGAGAGAGAGAGAGAGAGAGAGTATACAGTGGTACCTCGGTTACATACGCTTCAGGTTACAGACTCCGCTAACCCATAATTAGTACCTCGGGTTAAGAGCTTTGCTCCAGCGTGCTCCAGCGGTGTGGCAGCAGCTGGAGGCCCTGTTTCAGGTTAAGAACAGACCTCCAGAATGAATTAAGTAATTAACCCAAGGTACCACTGTGTGTGTGTGTGTGTGTGTGTGTGTGTGTATTTTCAAGACTCCTTGAGCTCCGTTCTGCTCCCCCTTCCTGACCAGGGCAGCTCTGCTTGCCCCTCAGAGCCAGCATGTCACATGGGTTGGGACCTTGGTGGTGGTAGCCTCTCTTCCTCCTTGCCCATTTTCCAGAAGCCACTATGAGCTGGCCAATGGAGGAGGCTGGCAGTGATGGCCATGGAGA